TATGGGTATTGATGGCTTTGATGGCATTTCTAATAATTTTTTCTTTAACAGTTTTCTCACTCTTTACATGTATTCTTTACTAATTACATTTTTAACATATCCATCCTTAATGTTATTCAACTGTAAAATGCCCATTTACTTCTAGGCTTCATCCTGATGGTTCCTGGTGATTTGGTCATTTAGTATTTCATTTCCTTCACTCTTCATAATTTTACCCGGTTTTATTGCTACTGTAACACATTTCTCCAGGTACCATTCTTTATGGTAAAATTCTTACAGTATTTGTCAATGACTGGATTTCAATTTCTGATATTTCATAGTTTTCGATCACCCATATGTGATATTTTATCTGCATTTTGGCCATTTGATAGCCAAGATTTGTTTTCTCCAAAATTACCAAAAGTGGGCTCATACCCACTTTTTATTTGTCATTATTTTATTATGACAAATAATAAAAGTAACAGTGAGTCATCCTGGGGAAGATGGTCTTCCTAATGTTGACAAGCCCATACTTTTCATTTCCAACCTCCAATTCTGTTTTCCATTGCTTCATTGTTTTTTTCTATAAATTTTGTAATGTTTTTGCTGACATCAGTTGTTTCCAAACATTTGATGATCCAACTATGAATAAAACACCTTTTTATAAGTTAAGACTCTATGTAATTAGTTTTTCAGCTTTGCAGTTTTTCAGTTGTGCCTCTGCTTTTCCTTTTATATCCTTTCTGTTCTACTGAAAGAATGTTATTTTTTTCCAAATTATTTTGGATGTTGTCTGCTATTATGCCTATGAGTAATTTAAACATTGTAGGCAAGCATGCTATCTGTCTAGAGTTTCCTGGTATCGTCCCTTTTTGAGGCCTTTTTGAATCATAGATTTTGCCAATTATTCACCAATCACTACTGTCTTTCTTATGCAACATTGTTATTTAGGTATTTGATGTAAATTAGTCATATACTTGAACCAAAAGTCATGCAATTGATCTTTTCCATATGATATCCAGTACTTAATTCTTTTCACTCAATTTTTAATCCTTTGTGCTGTTCTTCCATTTGGTTTTTACTAAATTCATCCACACATTATCTTATCCATTCAGAATTGTTATTTTAATCTTTTAAAATCTTGCCAAAACTGGATTGTTTTCTTTTTGGTTTTCCATTTTTAGAACTTCTGTTGTGATTTTTACTTTGGTAGAATGACTCTGGTCTGACTGATGTAGCTAATTTTGCTTAAATTGGATGATTCATGCTTCATGCCATTTAATTTTCCCAGTTATTGCTGTTTATGATTTCTAAAACTTCTGCATTATTTCTGGTGTTGAGCCAATACTTCTTGATGAGACTTGTCTTAGTCCTTACATTCTTCCATTTTTGTTCCTAAATGTATTTAAAATTACCGTGTTTCCCCAAAAATAAGACCCTGTCTTATATTTTTTTAACCCTGAAATAAGCGCTTGGCCTTATTGCCATGCATTCAAAAACCCAATTAGGCTTATTATCAAGGGATGTCTTATTTTGGGGAAAACAGGGTACTTGCATTTGATCTTTATTTGTCTTGGCCTCCAGATTGATCTTCCAGTGGTTGGTTTTCTACTTTCAATACCCAGTTCTTCTGCAATCACTACTGCTGTAATGTAGGCAAGTTTATTAGTCTGTTCAATAGATATTATTTTAATTCTTGCAAGCACCATATTCACATAGGTGACAGGTGTACTTTTTTGTCTTTGTCCTTCTACGGGTAACTGTATTAAATTTAAAAAGTGGCATATAAATTTATTTGATTATTACAGGTAGTCCTCAACTTATGATCACAATGGAGCCCAAAAATTACATTGCTAAGAGAGCAATTTGTTAAGTGAGTTTTGCCCCATTTTACAACCTTTCTTGCCACAGTTGTTAAGTGAATCACTGCAGTTGATAAGTTACTAGCCCAGTTGTTAAGTGAATCTGGCTACCCCATTGACTTTCTGTGTCAGAAGGTCGCAAAAAGTGATCACATGATCCTGGGACACTGCAATCATCATAAATAGGAACCAGTTACCAAGCATCTGAGTTTTGATCACATGATAGTGGGGATGATACAAAGGTTGTAACTTTGACTAAGTCAATTTTTTCAGTGACGTAACTTTGAATGGTCACTAAATGAACTGTTGTAAGTCTACAACTACCTGTATTATAGTTGGTTACAGAATTAGCCAGATGTTTAAACCGAAGTTGCCATTTTTGTCTACTTATTGATTCTTTCTTAAGGACTGGAGATAAACAGATATAATCTTTAACAATATTAAAAGCATTGCTGCAGCATGTAAGCTGTTCCAGATAAAGCTGCCTTTTGCAATTGACTGATGATGTTCAAGTGGTGCTCCAGTTGTTTTGAGATTGCATCCAAGGTGCCTATTACTATTTGTACTATCTTTACTTTCTTTTGCAACAATCATTCTACTTCTATTTGCAGGTCTTTATATTTCATTATTTTCTCTGGTTGTTTCTCTTCTCTTCTGCTGTCTCCAGGAATTGCAATGTCTGCTATCCAGACTTTTTCTTATCAACAGTTACTGGGGAATTTATTGAAAATGGAAAATGAACACTGGGATTTTATATTTATTGAATAAGATCAATTCCTCAAAACAAGTCAATTGATTTTATAATGAGGCATCCGGGCCCCATATTTCTTTTTCATTTTTTTCTTTTAATGCATCTGTTTCTGTTTTGTCTCAATAATATATGGAGTGTACATAGAAGTGAAGCAATCAGTATTAATGAAGCTGATGAAGTTATTTTAGTTTCCCACTCTTTAAATTAAAAACATTTTTATTGGGTGGCAAATGAATAGCTAGAGATGACAAATCTTGCTAATAATAGTAAGATTAAATCTTACAAGAATGATGAATGTTACACATATTTTGCTTTTACTAACATTTTGTTACCGAAGAAAAATGATCTCTGCGTGTTATTTGTCTGAACAAGATCTGTCTTCTTGTAATATGAGGCCAAGAAAGCTAACACATTATTTGGAACCAAGTCATATTGACTTAGTAAGAAATCTAGAGATATTTTCATTCAAAGAAGAGATTAAATAAAAACCAAAAACTGAATCTTGTTAAATATATGAAATATGTGTTCTTTTCAAAATTCTTCTCACCTATCAAGTTGTATCCAGAAATATCCACTGCAAAAAGCTGTAGCTACTGATGGCCATATATTGTGTAGATGTTCTTATGACCAATGTCATTATATATGGGGATATCATACCAATTCATTTATTACAATAGGAGATCAGGGCATCACAACATTTGAGAAGCCCTTCCTTGTGATATAATTAATTTAGGATTTGATTTACATAAATGATAGAAAAAAGTTTAATCAAACAGCCAATTTCTTATATAAGAGATTCTATTATTCCTTCTTCAGCTTATCCTTAAACTCAAAATATAGCACAGCAGCAGCCAAATTTTCTTTGGGAATTTTATATTACTTGCCCATCATAATACATATATTATAAATAAGCTTAAGGATGTAAAAAAAAAAAACCCGGCAAGAGATATAGCATTCATTATAACTTTATGTGAAACTGTCATATGTGAACTGAATCAAAATGTTGAAGGAATGTAAGTTGTTCATTCGAAAGGGGAAGAGCTGTACTTGAAGACATGTTGAAACAATTCATACTACTGTGCACTTATTGCCAATGCTTTCACAGTTAGGAGAGAATACGTTGTCCCAAAGGTGCTTTTTTCAAGAGGCAACTGGACTTTCCTGTTTTTCTTTGAAGACCTTTCACTTCTCATCCAAGAAGCTTCTTCAGCTCTGACAAAGGAGAATCTTCAGCCAACACAACACGCTTTAAACCCAAGAATACACTAAGGCAGAAGCTTGTCCACCCCAAGGATAACACACCCAGAAACAACTGAGCAGTATGGTATATGCAGTACAAAGCAACAATTTCATAAACACATGGCACAACATAGGAGAACAGATCCATCAGGACAAGATTCAGTGTCCATCTGCATTTGAAAGACAAAGGCCACTCTTTTGAAAACAGCAAAGTCCACATTTTGGACAGAGAGGAACCGCTGGTTTGAAAGAAGGGTCAAAGAAGCCATCTATGTCAAAATTGAACAGCCCTTTCTCAACAGAGGGAGAGGGATACGACATCATCTGTCTGCAGTCTACAACACAGTCCTTCCAACAGTTCCAAGAAGGCTCCACACCAATTTGCACTACTCAGGTGACCTTGATGACACAGATAAACTTCCAGGTGACCTCAATGACTCTTTAAAAGAATGCAAATGACCAGCTGTCTTCAAGGAGTATAAATTCTTCCAGACAGAGCTGAAGAAGCTTCTTGGATGAGAAGCGAAATGCCTTCAAAGAAAAACAAGAAAGTCCAGTTGCCTCTTGAAAAAAAGCACCCTTGGGACAGCTATGACCTGGATAACTGAGAATCTCCATAGACAGAGAGAGTACATTATATTTAATATACTATAACTGAATACATTGCATGTTGACATTATATCTGAAGACCCGTGCGGTTGTCATTTCATAAGAATGACACAGAAGCAGTTTTGACTGAGGGTTGTTGTTGTTGTTGTTGTTGTTTTGCTAATTTCCAGGGTGTGGTATGCCTGAATTGTCCCAATAATACTAAACCAGTAATGGGAGAAAAGTTGTTTTTCAAAATCTAGCTAACCCAACCCTTTCCCCTCCCCCTCTCAAACATTGATCCAAAAGAAACACTTTTGCTTCTTTCCTCCCCAAAAGGCAAACACAAACACACAGGCACATACACGTCCCCAGACTCATCAATCTCCATCAGATGTGGGCCACCTTGGGAGAATTAAATCAGGTCGCCAAGGTGCAGATTGTCTCGCCTTTTGGGAAAGTGTTAAGAGGGGAATGAAAATACTTCAGCCTGCTGGGAGAGAGGAGGAGGCGATGGCAGAACAAACTGCATTTCCTTGAGGACTGAGGTCAGTTCGTCCGAAAAGAGAGGGGTGGTAGAAAGGGAGAGGGATGAGCTCATTTAGCTGAAGCGTGGGTGTCGGGGTGGCCGGGAAAGAAAGACGGGGTTAACCAAAGCCGAAGGTGGTCAGAGATGGAAGAACTGCTCCTCCTCGGAGTGCGCAGGCACCTCAGGGGCCCCTGCCCTCCAGTATCAAACCACGCCGCTTTCCCACTTTGGAAACGCAGCTTGTAGTTGGAAACTCGACAGCTCTCCCTCCTCAAGCAAAGCCAAGGATCGTTTTATTGAAGGCGTTTGGGGCCATCTCGATCTGGCTCAGTTTCAGAGGTGAGGCTCCGAGAGACCCTCCGAAGAAAACTTTTCCTCCCTGGAAGAGGTTGGGGGTGAGGGGCGAGAGCAACCCCGCCGCCAGCTAGCGCACCTCAGTCCGGGCGGACTGAGGTAGCCTTGCCTGGCAGCTAAAGACAAGCCTCCCGATACATCAGCCGAGCCTTGAGGAAAGGGAATGCCTCGCTCAGGGCGGCGGGATTCTCGGTCTCCCTCCTCTCCTAAGACACCGACTGAGCAGGACCGACGCGTAGCTTCCCCCTCGACTTGGCGCCTCTTCGCCTGCTCTTCCTCTCAACTCTGGGGAGCTTCTGGAAACCCTTTGCGTCACCCCAGGTCATCCCAGCGATTTCTGCCTCAGTGCCAGGTGGGTAAGTAAGCTTGGCAGTCGAGGAGAATCTCGGCTACTGGGGAGCCCATCCCAGTCTACGAACGATGGGTAGGTATCGGATAAATTTTCCGTCCCTTTTGAGGGGGACTGGCAATTCGTGCGGGCTGGAGATGATCAGATCTCCATTAATTAAATGAGCCAGAATTGCAGTAGAGTCATGGTTTGTTCAGTTCTGACTTAAAAGCTTATATTCAAGATACTGATGAGAAACATCATTTCGCAGGCAATAATCCAAACTCAATCCAAACTCATTTTCCCCATGGAGTGAAATCTACTCTTGGTATCCTACGGATTGAACTTTGAGCCTTTCTTCCCTGATAACATTTGATATTGGCTCGTCCAAAGTTTAGGTAGAATGAATCTCTTTGTAGTAACCCTAATAGGAGGCTGAAATTCTGCTATCAAAGATTGAGGCTGTAAAATTTTATTTTCCTTTTCAGCGCATGTATGTCCTTTTGTGCACACATGTATACAGACAATTGAGCAGTCTGTATAGTCTGTATTATTTTGCTGTTTACTTAGAGTGCCATCTTGGGAAAATTATGGATTAGTGAAACAATACACAGTACTTTTATTAGTGAAACAATACACAGTAACATCTCAGTTTGTTAAGTTTTGTTAAGGCAGGGGTAATTGTGCTGATTAAAATTGTTCGTATCAGTATTTTATCCAATATAACCATTTAAAAACACTGCTTTCCCATAACATACCTTTATTCAATCATGACCATGAAGAAACAGTTCTGAAAATAATGGTTAGGGATGTAAGAAGTTGCATGTTACTAAACTACCAGTCTATCCTATTTTGTCTTGCATTCTGTTAGAGCTTGTGTTCTTGAGGAAGTTTTTATACAGCTTCTTCTCTATGGATACTCCACAGCCTAGCATAATATATTGTAAAATATAACCTAAAGTGTCTGAGTACCCACCCGGGTTTTGTGTGACTTCAACTCTAAGAAAGTGTACAACATGACTTACAGTGGAAAGTATTTCTTTTCTGATCTCTGAACAAGAAATTTTTCAAATGTAACATATGTTGAAATGGAAGTTAGAAATTGTTTTTTCATATTTTATCATGTACTAAATTCTGTGAATATCTAAGACTATGTAATGGTAGAAGGGAAAAATATTCTTAATGTGTAGAATGTCATTATTTCATGTAAAATGTAATTCTGGTATGATAATTCAATTCAGTGGAAATCACAATAATTACTTTGTGAACAAATATAATTACTCTATGCGGCTTCATATCATGAAAAAGCAATTAACTTTTGTCCAGAAAAAAAAATGCAACAAAATGGTGCCTTAGCTGCTTTTCTACTTTCCTAAGAATTATTAAACAGGGAATAGTAAGGAAAGTTGGTTTGCTGAGGGAAAAAAAGGCAAATGGGATGAATGGTGGACTTCTCTTTTCATCGTTAGATCTGCCATTATTTGGGTTCTTACTACACCCTGAGAAAATGCAGGTTTTATAGCAAACAAGTTTTCTTTCATATGCAAAATCACAGGATTCAAATGCTACTCATATATACACTGCTCAAAAAAATAAAGGGAACACAAGCAGAAAACATCCAAGATCTGAATGAATGAAATAGCCTTATTAAATACTTTGTTCGTTACATACAGTAGTTTTGTATTCCCTTTAGTTGTTTGAGCAGTGTATAAACTACTGTATGTAAAGAACAAAGTATTTAATAAGGCTATTTCATTCATTCAGATCTCGGATGTCTTCTGCTTGTGTTCCCTTTATTTTTTTGAGCAGTATATTTTTATGGCTTGGCTCCAGGTTACATACAGAACCAACTCTTCCCATTAGAGCCAGTCCAACTGCTATAATAATATCAGGATAAGTAGTTGAATTCCAGGAGATGAAGTGGTTGACACCTGTAGCAATTATTTTTCAGTTGCAGTGCCAACACTCTGGAAGGTCTCCCTAACTTCTGGAAGAGGCTGGAGACAGGGTTTTTCTGGAGAGCATTTGCGATGTGGTGCAAGTGGTGTGGGTTGACTAAACAGGGTGCTAAACAGGAACCATAATGCTCCTACATTTCCCTTTTTTATCCTTCCCGATAAATACACATTGCATGTAATTACTTTAGATACCTCTATGTATGATTGGGATTCCTGGAAAATTCCTTAATTGGAGAGTCAGAAATAAGTTCTGTGTACATCTGAGAGATAAACAAATGCTATTTATATACATGGAACATAAAGTGTTTGCAAGGTGTCACTATTATAGTCATGCTTTTGGACTTAATAATTAGAGAAAGAATAATATTATAGAAACATTTTTGTTTCACTGCTTATTTTTAATGACAGGATTTTTTTAAAAAAGTAGCCTTGAATCCCTGTTTCACTATTTATGTTGATAGCCATTGGCTGTGACACTGTGTTAAGAGTGCTCCACTCTTATTTGATTTATTTAATTATACTTTTTCCAAATTAAGTTTGGAAGACAAATTATGAAAAATATGAAATATTATATTTGAGCTAACCAAAATAGTTTTGAGGCATCACTATAACAAAATAAGCTTTCTCTTTCAATGCTGGCCAATTACTCTGTTGGCTGACATTTAATTGGCTTATAACTACACTACTTGTGAACAATAAGTTTTGGTGGACTGTTTTAGTTAAAATGTTTATTGTTTTGACAATGAATAGCTGTACACTAAAACAAATATTGGATAAACTAATAATGTAATGTAATGTAATGTAATAATGTAAATTCTATGTCCAACTGAGCAGTCTAGTATTTGTATAAAATACTCAAAAGAAACACATTCTCTGTTTGAATATTTGCAGAAGAACACTAGCAGGCCACAATTCAGTTCAATCCAATACTCTTTTCTTCAGAAAGTAAATCAAGCAGCAAGGGCAGAAGAAGCTAGTGGGCTGAGAGCAGGAGTCCATTAAAATAACAACATACAGGTGTCAGCTGCTTTTCCTGCTGAAAAATGAGTGATTCTAGTCCACGAGGCACAAATAGAAGTAAGAGAGATTTTGGATTTATTCTACTTCTACTTGTACATTGAGTGTTACAGATTGCAGGTGCTTGTTTTCTTCCTAGTAACAATTTTTCTAATGTTAGAGGTAAAACTATCTTAACAACAACTATACTCTTGAATTTTTGCATGCGAGCCCCCTAGGTCCTGTAATGATCTTGGAGAAGTCTAGCATGATGGGATAGATAGTTACAATACTAAGACTTGTATGTCTCCTCCGTCTGTCTAAGACGCTTACAACACCACGAAACATAACAAAACACAGTTGTTATACAAATAAGTCCATAAGTGCATAATCAAAATCCATACAAAGCCCAACATCCACAATAAAAACAATAATGCCCTTTTCTCACTACCAAGAAAAAAAATAAAATAATAAACCTCTTTTTTCAGTGCCCAAACCATTTATGGATAAACAATGGTTTAACAAGGAAGGAACTATCATTTCCATGAGGGTAAGCTATTATGGAAGTGGGGAACAATAAACAGAATGCTCAATTCTAAGTGTACACCCAGTTTATTTCCTGATGAGTGGGGACACACAATATGTCTTCTGTGCTAGACTGCATTGGGTGGCAAATCTTGTTTGGAATAGATGGTCCCAAAGATAGACACATCCCAAACCATATATTATATATAGGTCCCAAGCACCATATCTGAACTCTACTTAGAAGCTAGCCCACAGTCAATGCAGTTCAGAGGTCATGCGGGTCTCTAATGTTATCAGGTGGGCAGCTGGATTTTGTACCAACTATAGCTTCTGGGGGGTTTTTTAGGGGCAAATGTATGTAGTCCCACTGAAAAGATAAGAGCATGAATGAGTCACTCTAAAAAATGTAGCTGTTGGCACACCAGCCACACCTGGGCAAAAGTTCTACTTTCATTTTTCTTCCAAATCAACAGCCATTCCTTCTTGTCAGGCTTAAGCCTCAGTTTATTCCTGTCCAAACAGATTCTCACAAGCCCCCCCAAATTTCCACTGCATCTTCTGCTGAGCAAGCCATGGAGACATGCAACTGGATATCATCAGCAAACTGATTCTTCCAGTGATTTCATGTACATATTGAGCAGTATGGGGGAGATGGCTGAGCCCTATATTATAGAACCAAGGGCTATGTATCTGTCCTACTTCATTCAAATGGAGCTATTTTCCTGCTCAGGAAAGAAGGAACCATTGCAAAACCATTGCCAGCAGCCCAGCAGGATATGTAACTTCCATGGTAAAGATATAAGATTAAAATATATTTACATACACATAAATGATGCATAGGATAGGACTACAACTTAGCTAGAGGCATCAAGGAAATTGAATTATATGGATCAAATTAACTGATTCAATGTAAAATAACTTCTGATATTTCCAGGAAATAAAAAATAAAGGTGAATACTTCTTCCATTCATAGAAGAAGCTCTAAATTACCGGAGTCTCCTGTTTATAAGATAGGATTAAAATGTTTCAACAATTATATTTTCACTAAACTCCCAAATTACCACAGAAAACAGCTCAGAAAACTACAGAAAGAAAGGGGAATGATTTTTTCAGGTTGCTGGGGGAAGAGGTGGGGATAGATTTGACTGGTGAACCACCTTCCTTTCACCACCAGGAAACAGATACATAAATGCATACAACCCTGTGAATTTAGGATCCAAGCCACTGTGCCTATCATAAAACAAGATGTCAGATTAATTCCAGATGTTATAATTCACAGTAATTAAATTGCTAATTCTGATGGACTGTGCAAATCTCTACATACTTATTTTGAAGGAGAAAAAAACAGTCCCAGGTAAGTGTCCATAGGATTACAACACTCACTTCAAAAATAATTTCTATCCTCTCAACCAAGAAGAACGTATACATAACACCTTCTAAAAGCAGGCCTTAGCTCTTTTAATGCAGATCTTCCACTGAATAATAATTACTTAGATTAATTATGTCAGCATCGCTTGGGAGACAGACTCTTGCTGGCATGGCCCTTTCAGCAAATGTTTGGCCAATGTTGCTATTGGAGTTCATCAATCACCAAATAAATGCACAAAAGGGTTGCAT